ATTTTTATAAAATTAATAATTTTAATAATAACAAATAAAAAAATTTAAAAAAATACATTTATTTGTTTTCAAACATGTTCTTGTTAATCATTTAATGTTAAACAACAACCGCTAATTATTGTACAACCAGCTGTGAGGGCGCATTTAATGCGCAACGATTAAGTTATTAGAAAATTATTTAATGTTTTAAAGTCGAAATCCCAAAGTCGGTTTTAGACTTTGTAGCCAACTGTGTAAGAAAATAGAATGTACAGGAAAACCGCAAAACTGGTTGCAGAATTCTAAGTCGGCTCTACAAAGAAAACAGAACGTCCAGGAAAGCTGCAATGTTGGCTGCAGATTTTTTAAGCCAGTTGTGGAGCTGGCTCTAGAAATCTAAGCCGGCTGTGTTGACAATTCTGCAGTTCGAGATTATACGTCCCGTAGAGCATTAAATGACCCTCAGTGGCTAGAAACAGCTATTTTCGAGCAAGAGGCTATAAATATGGTTGGTAGCAGATTTGGAACAAGTTTGAAGAGCTTTGTATTGAATATCTCTACCTACGAACTTGTGCTTTAACTTGAGTATTTGATCTTTGCTTGTAATCCTTTTCTTGTTCTACTTGTGTGTTATGTTGGGGGTGTGATTATTCCTTCAAGAGTGATTTGTAGAAAGGATTTTTGGGGTTTATCTTGCAAATGGGTGAGATTTGAGAGAAACAACCTTTTTCTTATAAAAGGATTGAGTGGCTCCTTTAAGCCACCATTGTTTTTCTTAGTGGAGAGTATGAAGGAAATCCTTGGTGAGTGAAGCCAAGGTAGAAGACTAGGCTTCAAGTGGTTGGACCAAACCCCTATAAAATCATTGTGCAAGCTCTTCTTTCGTACTCTCTTTTTAATTTTTGTTTGGTGGTTGTAAAGAAAAAAAAAATTTTCCAACTCCAATTCACCCCCCTCTTGGAGTGCATTGAGCCAACAATTGGTATCAGAGCAAGGGTTTCAATTTGAAGGTTTAACCACCTAGGAATTAATCGGGGATGGCTTAATTTCAAGCTTCTCAACCACTTGAAGGTTTGTCTACCACTAGGCCTCCTTTCTTTGATGGTACTAATTATAATTATTGGAAGAATAAGATAAAGGTCTACATGCTTGCAACTGAGCCTAGGGCATGGATTGTGACTATGAAAGGTCCATATGTGCCCATAAAAGTTGTGCCAAAGGAAGAAGTTGAATGGAATGATGAAGATTTGGGGAAGATCATGATCAACAACAAAGCAGTCAACATGCTTCAATGTGCTCTCAATCCAACGAAATTCCATAGAGTTTCCGGGTGTGATACGGCTAAGTAGATGTGGGACATGTTAAAGGTAACACATGAAGGAACAAGCCAAGTGAAGGAGTCAAAAATCAATAAAGTCATTTGCATGTATGAGCTTTTCAAGATGAAATCAGAGGAGAGCATTCAAGATATGTATACAAGATTGAATGATATAGTCACCAATCTCAAGGCTCTTAGTAAGGTTTATCCTTCTCAAGAAGTGGTGAGGAAGGTTCTTAGAAGCTTGCCTAAGAATTGGGAAGCGAAGAAGACCGCAATTGAAGAGTCTAAGGATCTTAACACTCTCAAGCTTGATGATCTCATTGGAAAATTGTTGACATATGAGATGGAAATTCAACTTGATGGTGGAGTTGAAGTAGTTGAGAAGAAGAAGAAGGATGTTGCATTCAAGGCTAGCAAACAAAAAGAAGAAAGTGAAGATGATGCTAGTGATGATGAGCCTAGCCATGAGGAGGACATCACCAAATTAGTTTCAAAAGAAGTGAGGAAATATATGAAGAAGAGCCTTAAAGGGAAATCCTCTAGAAGAAACAAGGAAATTCACTACTCTAGAGGAAGAATGTGTAGTGATGATGATGATAGAGGAAGCCAAGAAAGAAGCATATCAAATGCTATGAGTGCAATGAGATGGGACACTATAGAGATGAATGCCCCAATTTGAAGAAAGGCAAGAAAAACAAAGCATTTGTTACCTTTGTTACCATATGGAGCAATGATGAATGTAGCTCATTCGGGAATGAAGGCTCCTTGGAAGATGATGTGTCCAATCCTTGCTTTATGGCTCCAAAAAATAGCTTCTTTAATGAAGAGGTAAGCTCTAACTCTTCTAATTCATTTCATGATAGCTCTTATGATTATTCTCATGATGAGTTGTGTAGAGTACTTGATTGCTCTATTAATGATATCAAGAGACTAGGGAATCAAAATCTAGCACTTACTAAATCTATCTCTTTACTTAAAGATGAGCTTGAATCTCTTTCAAAACAAAATGAGGTTATAGTTAAAGAGATTGCCTCCTTAAATGTTGAGATTGCTTCTTTAAAGAATGAGGAATCTAGTAATGCTTTGAAAAAGGAAAATGAGAACTTGAAAAAGGAAAATGAGAACTTGAAAAAGAAAGTTGGTGATCTTGAGTATGTGATTTCCAAATTTACCTTAAGTAAAGAAAAATTTGATTCTATTTTGAATTCTCAAAGAAGTGTTTATAATAAAAGGGGCATAGGATTTAAGTATTCTAAAGAGCAAAGAACTTTTAATAATTTCTTTGTAAGAGCAAGTCAATCTTCTAATTCTAAAGTTACTTGCTATTGTTGTGGTGCAAAGGGGACACTTTGCTTATGTATGTCCTTTGAAGAGATTGATAGTTCAAGGCAAAGTGAAGCAAAAATTTGGGTACCAAAGATCAAAACTTGATTTTGTTTTGTAGGTAAAGTTGATGGCAAAGTCATAAGAAAAGCAAAGTTGATCTTGATGAAGACTTATGCCTCAACAAGAATGTTGGAGTGAAAGTGCAAAGAAAAATGTTTTTAAATGCTCCACTCTTGTGCTCAAATTGGTATTATTTATTTTATTGCATTTATTCATTGAGTATAATTACATTAAGATGACTATTAATTATTTGTTTATATGTGCTAACTCTTTGATACGAATGCTTGTTGAGTATGATTTCATTTGATGTGTCTTTTCTAGTGTTGATACAACCTTGTTGATTGCTATGGATATTACTTATATCATATTTACATACTTGACATACGTGAATGATTAGATTGATTATCTATCATATATAATTCATAATGAGCTCTTGATGGTATAAGTGACTTTCAATGTCATATGTGTCATTTTGAAGATGGTTGATGATTTGATTTAAATGAGTAATTTTAATAACTTGTTTTACTTTACATGGTTTGTCTTATTCAAATTTACTTGTCTCATTATTTTCATAACTTTAACGATAGCACTTGGAAGTTAAGCATGGCCTTAGGAAGAGTCTTACACTTGGAAGTTAAGTTTATTAGGAAATTTGTATGTTTGCTTTTTGATGGATGATTTTGATAATATTTGATTGTGTGCAAGTGTATGTCATGCACTTAAATACTTGCATAGTCATGGTTGATTTCAATGAATAAGATTTTTGATATTTGTTATCATATGATATGATGCATATAAAAAGGAGTAATAGTGTTGAATCTATTCATGTGATATTCAATGAGACTAACCCCATTTGCTCTAGAAAAAGTTGTGAAATTGTGATGTAGATATTATTGGGTAACAAATGTAAGAATAAACATTGAAGGCAATAGCATCATACAACCTCCATGTGAAGCAAGTGAGAAGAACAAGGAGATGCACAAGCAATGATCTCTCCAGTGAGGTATTCAATTGCTCTAACAATAATGGAGGTAAACCTATTGATTTCAAACTCTTAATGAGTATGATGGACATATATATTGCTTTATCTTGAGTGCATATCACATTTGAGTTATTTCATTTATCTTTTATTGATCTTTATGACTTAAATCATAGATGAGAATATCAAGAAGATTCGGATTTCTACAGAAGGGCAAAATAATGAGAAAAATGGTGTAAACCAAACATGGGTTATGTTAAGATTAATGTATATCGCCAGACTTTATTGGGGGGGTTATGGTGTTGCGGTAAGGGACTGTTGTGGTAATCTATTTAATAGATGGGGAACATGGAAATGAGAATGCTAGCACAGCATTAATGACTGAGACAATTGCTTCGGACATTGGCATGCGCCATACAGTTAGCAGCAAGGAAACCATATGCCATTTCCATTTTTGATAAATGGGAAATGGAGGGATATTGTGACAATCACGAAATACAAAATCACTAGAATCTGCATATGAACTAGGTCATGTTTTGGGCCCAGGCCATTCCTCTGTTTGGGAAGCTGTAACGTTTCCTAGTACTGGGCCTCGAATTACGAAAGGGCTGAGCCCACATGTATTCAAGGATTATCAGACAACAAAGTACAAGGCTAGGCCATTCAAAGTATAAAACAAAACAAAGTAAAAAAGATATTTTTAATTTATATTTTAGGGATACGGTTTAAAAATATTGTGGTCATAAATACATATAAAAAATAAAAATTAATACTAATTTTACACTACAATTGATTTAAGAAAAACAAAAAAGAAGAAAAACTTTTTTTTAACTCATCAAATTATAACATTTAAAAATATTATAATTTAATTAATTAAAAAACTTTTTTTTTCTCACTTTCATTCTCTTCAATTCAAAAATGTTGATGTTTAATAAATAAATAAATTACAAAATACAATAATTAAGCACAACGAAATGAAATACACAACTCAATAAAATCTCCTAAAAATCTAAATCATCTACTACATTCAAACCTAAACCCACTACGCAAGGCCTCTTCGACATTTTTTACAAGTATTAACGTATACCATCTTGTGCTCAATCATTATATCCCCCTACCTCGTTACTAATTTACTACAATCGAAATTCAACATATATGGTTCAAAGTAAATCAGTTGGATCAAACACATGACAAAATCGACATCAACAAAAATTTCCACAAAACACTTGAAATAACAACATAAAAATGTTCAACATTTATAAGTTTCCTAATATCCTTAAAATCATAGCACCACCATCTATCACAAAGTTCAAGATTATTAAAATAACAATCCACAGAGAGTTTGAAACCACATGCAGCAATCTAAATATCGAACTCAACCACTACTCAATACAATAAAAACCCACAGAGTTGAAATCATATCCAGAAAAC